ACTGAACCATAATCCACTGAAATGATATGTTCTAAGCTGTACTGACTCCACACACCCCGTCTCGTCTCCAGGCTTTTATTTTACTGTTCTGTTTTAAAACATTCAGTTATGAAAAGGTACAAATACGAACTTTTCACCTGGAAAAACTTATTTAAGGTTCACAATCAGACCTTAAAACCACTGTTGGAGCTTTGAGGGAACATTTACACTGTTTGTACCTTGATGAATAAGATATGAACCCGTACAGAACCTTTATTTCTAACAGCGTATTTAGGACTTGGTGGATCTTTTCTGGATTCCTTTCTTTCTTACCCATCAGTAAGTTTGAGCTTGATATACCTGCTTAAATCCGAGCAGGTAACAGACTATTCATATTGGGTCAGGATTGGACATCATTTCTTAAATATTTTTAGGGCTCAGGCTGGCCTTCATGTTCAGGCTTCTCACCACCTCCCATCTCCCTCCTTGGCCTACATTCATTCCCTCCTTGGCCTACATTCATCCACTTCAGTTTTTTGTCCTCACTTCATTCTTTCTCTCTAATCTTATTACCTTAAACAGTTTTAAAATGACATACTACAGTCGCTTGTGTTGTTGGCAGGTCCGCAAAGCTAACAAATGTGTAAAAATGGATGCATGGGAAAGACTGAGACGGCCGTCACGGTTGCTGTAATGTAACCCAGGGTCGGCACCATGCGGCTCTTTTACTGTCCTGTTGTGGCTCTGCAGCAGAATTAGGTTTGTGGGTAAAAATAAAATAAATCTCCTTTACAGTAAAATAAAGCTCTGCTGATCGTTCAACACAGTTTAACTATAAATGGTTTTAAACTTTGGAGTTAATGTAGAACTGCTAATTCACCCTTTAACCCTGAAGATCAGCGCAGACTGCTGGTCACCATAGCAGCACAGACAACAATCTCGCCTAGCTAGTAGATAACGAAACGGCAAAGAGAGAGATTTAAGACGAACATCGATGATTTGGAGATTAATTAACTTATTTGCATTTATAATCACTCCAGCTGGTTTTCCGATATGTTTAATCTGCAACGAGAAACCGACAAACACTAAAAAGTCGCGAGGCTGAAGTCAGTTTCTTGTTCGAATTTTCTCGTTCCACCTTAAATGGTGCCACAGTTTACATTCTGCCGCCTCAGGAACCATTTAAGGTGGAACGAGGGAATTCAAACAAGAAGCTGGAGAATGAGAAGCGACTTCAGCCGCGTAAAAAGTCGAACTTTGAAAGATATTTATCAAAAAACTGTTCTAAAAAAAAAAGTTTCCTGCCGGAGATGAGAGAAAAGCGTCTATAGTCTCTGTTTTCATTTATATTATATTTTTTAGCTTATACTTGTACTATGTTGTGGCTCCCAAGGTGATTTTTGTTGAAAGGACAAAATGGCTCTTCTTAACATTTGGATTGCCGACCTCTGACGTAACCTAATGAACTGTCTCCATTTAGCAGCTTTGGATTGAGTTTCTTGGGCTCCAGTAAGATTTGGATTCAGAACTTGGTGCTTTGGTTTGGGCAGAATGATCTCAGACTGTATTTTTGTTTGGGTCAAAACTTCCGGTCCAGTTAAAGCTCTGCTTTAATTAGACCAGTTGCACTTTATAGAGCCGGTGCTTTGGCTGATTGAGCCCATACAGTGTTCTGTGATTTGCACTGTACTTGCCGTATCTTATGTAAGGTGTCGGAACAAATCTCTGAGCTGCTTGAGGTAGAAACTGAGAGGCACAGGGCAGAAGCAGGTGATATAATACCCCGACTATCAGTGTGGGAACATGCACAGGTTGTGAGTGTTTGGTCTCGTCATGTCTCTCTTTCTCTCTCTGATGCTATCTTCCTGTCTGCCAGGTGGAAGCTTATACACCAGTTGTGGTTTTTCCCCCGTCCCTCTCTCACCAACCTCATGTAGAAAAAGTCAATTTCTCAGTGATCCCCTGTCAGAGATAAAGTGTTAATGTGTGTGTGAACTTCCAGAGGTTTCTGCAAACCTGTTTTCTGCAACCCGCAAGTTTCACCAGCTACGATGGGACAGGGGAGCGTTTGGCCTGGGAAAGGTGCGCTCTCCCAGGTGCCCCTGCTTTCTAAGAATAAACTGACAAAGTCCTCCAAACCAGAGTCTCCACATTAGAGCTGTTGCCGAGGAATCTAGCTTGACTTAACTGAACAACAGACCCTGCATAGCCAAAACTACGAGTCATTCATTTTTCAGCGTCAAAAGCCTCAACGACTACATGTAGTGTGTCCACTCTTTACCATTATTCCAGCTTCTTTTCAGGAGCCTCACTTTCAGCTCCTCAAAGAATCTGCAGACACACCTCCAAAGTTCAGTCTTAGAAGCTGGTTGATCATTTTCTGAAGTAATCAAACACATTCAGTGGTGTTGAGGTCTGGACTCTGGGGTGGTCAGTCCATCGTTCAGCTTCTTTGTTTGATGTGTCCGTCTCCTTTTCTCAGTGAGGTTCTTCTTGACAGCTACACATCCTTTCAGACCCACAGCGCTGAGTCGTCTTCTCACAGTGGAAGGATGGACAGAAACACCTGTGGATGTTTTCAGATCTGAAGCAGCTTGATTTTCTCCTCTCTCTCAGAGATGAAAGCTTTAAGTGCTGTTTATCTGATGGGGTCAGTTTTGGTGTCTACCAGGCTTTCCCGGTGATTGTTAGGAGCCCCATTTTCTCTGGAGCTTTTAATCATGTTTTGGAAACTCTTGTTTTCCAGCAATTTTCCTTTAGCTTTCTCGTTCCTTATACAAGTGGATTATCTTACATGTAATCTCCTCAGAAATATCTCCTAAAAAATGAATAACTCGTACTTAGTGGGCATTTTGAGTGTAAAGTTAGGTGCAGAATGTGTATGTAAATGGGCACGTCAGTCTGTTTCTCACTCCAGGGATGTGCATTGTCACCAAATTGGCAACTAATCATGGTCAGTTCATTGAGAAAGTAAATTTACAGAGTGATTGGGTTCAAATGAGTGTTCATGACGGTCCCACTCTGTGCGAAATATGTGGCGAAGAACAGCCAAACGCTGCATTCTGATGTCTGAAAAAGGCCTTCCCATGTCAATACAGTTACTATAGATACTCATTTCATCTTGCTAAATTTGTGACTTTGAAACCACACTGGTTTTCACTGCTGGACACAGTGGCTTGAAGTGTGACTTGTGAATTAGTCTTCAGTAACAGTGCTTTTAAGCTGCCCTGGTTCACTCTCCCCAAGGGACCTCAGAAATGGGGCTATTTAGAGGACCGGTTTCTGTGAAGAGCGTACGATCTGTTTTTGTTTCTTAAATCTTGACAGTAAAGCCGGGGGGCCTCTCTACAGGGAACTGAGTTTAAGCTGTAAGCAGACACGCACGGTTGGCATGAGGCACTACAGCGCAAGGATTCCCGTAACTCACGTGCTGTGTGTATGTGTGTGTGGCCAGGGTTGTGGTTTGGGGTGGCAGTGTAATGACATCTGGTAGGGGAGCCTTGTGCAGGAAAACCGCAGAGCCTGTCTGGAGAGGGGGCAGAGAGGGGGGTTGGCTGGTTGGCACAGCTGGGCCCTGGCACCCCAGGGTGACCATGGAACATCAAGAGGCACCAAATTATGGCCAGGATGCTCGTCAGGGCGTTATACCTCGTCAAGACTACATACACTATATGGAAAAAAGTTATGGGGACCCCTACACGTTACACCTACAGGAGCTTTTATGAATCCCATTCTAAATCCATAGGCGTTAATATGGAGTTGGTCCCCCTTTGCAGCTCTAACAGCTTCCACTCTTCTGGGAAGCTTTCTACAGATTTTGGAGAGTCTGTGGGGAATTTTTGCCACTGATGTTGGACGAGAGGGTCTGGCTCACAATCTCCATTCTAGTTCATCCTAAAGGTGTGTGATGGGGTTGAGGTCAGGGCTCTGTGAGGGCCGGTCAGGTTCTTCCACACCAAACTCACCCAGTCAGGCCTTTATGGAGCTGCTTTGTGCACTGGGGCTCAGTCATGCTGGAACAGGAAAGGTTCTTCCCCAAACTGTTCCCACAAAGTTGGAAGCATAGAATTGTCCAGAATGTCTTGGTGCTGAAGCGTTAAGATTTCACTTCACTGGAACTAAGGGTTCTAGATCAACCCCTGAAAAACAGCCCCATATCATCATCCCTCCTCCACCAAACTTTGCAGCTGGCACAGTGCAGTCAGGCAGGTAACGTTCACCTGGCATTCACCTTGCATGCAGCTGTTCGGCCATGGAAGTCCATGCCATGAAGTTGTGTGCTTATGTAGAGGAGGTCTGGAACTCTGCAGTTATGGAGTCAGCAGAGTTGGAGACGTTATTAAGTTAAAATTGACCACTTATTACTAGTCCATGTAAAACAAACATAAATGCTGGGGCTAGCTTTGGCTCAGTGTGCCTCAGTAGTTCCTACACTTCTATAATTTTGCATCACGCTTCTCTCGGAGAACATGAACAAAACAGTCCTAAATCCTGTGGATTTTTATTTTCGATAAGGCACATCGTTGTGCTCTCATCCTCTTAAAGTGGTCCCAAAGACCACTATTTTTATCAGCGTGCTTCATTTTTTGCACCCTCATATGTACAATTCAAAAAAGGTTTCTCAACTTGAAAAACATATCCAATTGTTTGTATGATTTGTATGAATGAAAATTTTAAATGTAATAATAATTTAATAATTTAACCATTTTTCACAGCTAATATTCAGGCTAGCAGTTTTTGTTGTGTCCATGATCTGAATACTGTCATTGTTGCTGCAAAGAAACGTGAAGTGCTGTCTGTGTTTTATTCAGTCACTGGTTGGTGGTTAGGTTCGGGTCAGGTCGGGGCAGAATTTCTGGCCTCTAATCCAAAACTTGATGCTGTGGGTCGGGTTTAAGTCACATAGAGTTTTATCTCCAGCTTTAGTTGTGTTTGGATCATGAATTTCAGGCCCTGTTAAAGATACGTTGTCGAAGTATTTCAGTTCATTCAACTCAAATGCTCTCTCTGTCTCTCTTCAGGTATCTGGTCATGGGGAACCTCCTGAAAGTGTTGACGTGTACAGACCTGGAACAGGAGCCCAATTTCTTCCTTGATTTTGAAAGTAAGATTTCGCACTCATTCAAACATGTTTATCCACAGTACTTTAACTCCCCAACCTTATCGCAAATTCCACATCACATACTTGCACTTTTTAAAGACTTATCGCTTCTGTCCAGTTAGTAGACAGATTTTCTTAATGTTAGAGTCTAAATGGTTTGGCTTGGCTTAAAAATGTTGATGCCCTGTGGGCAGGGGTGGAAAAAGCACAGAGAAAATAAACTTAAGTGAAATTATGGGTATAGTGTCCAAATCTTACTCAATTAAAAGTGGTGGAATGGAGGCAAAATATACTTAAGTTGAAGTAAAGTTAAAAGCATCGACGTTGAAACACAAGTATATAGAAGAAAAAAGTAAACCTCAGTTTTTTAACTTCCAAAACGCACCTCATCATATTCTTTACTGCATAACTTTCATATTTCATAAGCTACATTCTAAAGGTGGGGGTCGTATAAGGGCTGTAACTGTCTTCTTTCCAGTCAAATAGATGGGTGATGTAATTTTAAACCCTTATAATAAAAGAAGCTGAACTCACATTTTTGTTTCTACTGAAAGTCGACCCATTTTTCCACAAATCTGGGCTGTAAACTATAAACAGATGGCGTCTCTTCAGTGATCTGCTCTGTAAAACGTTATTTTTATAAAATAATACAAAGAGCATCTAAGATTTTTGGCTGTCAGCAGTAAATTGTAAGCATATAGCAATATGTATGATCATAAAACACGTTCTGTTAATTTGAGGGGAGCTTTTACAAAAAAAAAATTAAATTTGCATTTATCTCATGCAGTTGTTGAATAATTTGTCTTATGATTTGGGCATCTAAATTCAGATGGAAAAAAAACGAAATATACCCATGAGCATAAGAGGTTAACTACACTATGAAGGCTATCTAATGTTACCTAGCCTGACTTGCTGACCAGTTGACATGGAATTAGTTCCTTTTAGCTAAGATTTCCAAAACATCACAGTTGAACACAGGAAGAAGTTGATCAGAGTTACTTTATTGGCACTTCATTAAAACATGTACTAAAATCAACATGTGCACCAATAAAAATAATAAAATGTTCACCAGTGGCACTACAGTGAGACAAATGACCGCTGTAATGAACTGAATGTATATGCACTTTAAATGGGATGTGGGATCTGTTTAGTAGCTTCTGGTGTGCTGTATTAAAGGGGGATTTCACTGATTTTTCAAAATTTCTGCATGTCAGTTATTGAGATGCAAACAAAGTAATTCAGAGTGGTTTGATGTGAAATAGGTCATTGTAGAGAAGCTGACTGGCTCAGATTTCTTTACAGTGGTGGTGATGGGAACCAGGGGTCGCCATGACTACAACACAAATCTAGACATTTTATTTACTATCCAGAACCACCAGTTAACCTACACTCAACAAGTCATAATTAAAAAAGCTTTCTTTGTTTGTGCAGTTCTGCAACAAATCACCATTACTAGTCTCACATCATCAAAACTGACATTTTATAATGATATGAATTTAGTTGATGTTTCCATAAAAAACAATATATTAAAATACATGTGAAAAGAAAAATCTCTTTACCTTTGAAATTTGTAAATAAGTATTTTGAAAGTCTAAATGAGTAAAAAGTATTTTTTTAATCTTGGAAACTGGAGTAATTGACTAAAAGTACAAGTATTCAATTTCAGTAGTACTTGAGTAACGTACAAATCGCCCAATATAAAACTTGTGTTTATGAACAAAGTACAATTATTCAATTATTGCATGATGTTGCCTCAGGGCAACAAAATCATTTTCCTGACTTTACAATAACATTATTTATATTTAAAGACAATAATGGAGCTAACAATAAAGGAAAGAGTTTGAGTAAGTCAATAAAAAGCGTGTACTTGGCTATACTATCTCTAAGTGGGCACATTTAACCCTCTTTTTTAACATTCATTATACACTTTTTTTGTTATGAGAATTTGCAGAAATATGTTTGTTGCCTATAGGCAACACTGTGTGACCGTGTAATGGATTTAGCCAGTCACAAAACAGGTCTCACCACTTCAGGGAACACAGCTATATATCATTTCTTCCCATTGTCTCACAATGTTGCCTCAAGGCAACACACTCCCAAAATGACCCCTGCACACATTTTTTTTAATCCATCCATCCATCATCTAAACCGCTTATCCTTCTGGGTCACCGGTGGCGCAGTGGGTAGCGCCTCCGGGTACTCCGGTTTCCTCCCACAGTCCAAAAACATGCAGTCAGGCTGATTGGACACACTAAATTGCCCCTAGGTGTGAGTGAGTGTGAGTGTGTGTGTGTGTGTGTGTGTGTGTGTGTGTGTGTGTGTGAATGTGTATGTCTGTCTGTCTGTCTGTCTGCCCTGCGATGGACTGGCAACCTGTCCAGGGTGTATCCTGCCTTCCGCCCAATGACAGCTGGGATAGGCTCCAGCACCCCACCGCGACCCAGAAGGATAAGCGGTTTAGATGATGTGTGTGTGTGTGTGTGTGTGTGTGTGTGTGTGTTTAGATGATGGACATTTTTTTAATGTTTTTTTAATTTAATGATCAGGACAGTTTATTAATAATCATTATGTATAATTTTATAATGAATATAATTTAATAATCAAGGACCATTTTATGCAAGACAGTGAAGTTTTAAATTGCTATCATAATGAATGCAGCAGTAGAGGGATAACCATTTAATTGTGCAAAAATGTTTGAAATATTGGTGGAATAATTTTGAATATTTCATACATTCGAGTATTTTTCACCCTTGCTTATGAATTTGAACGTTCATCACAGACATGAGATGAGCCTTGAGTCTACATAAGGTTCAGGGAGTAAAGGATAGAAGAAGGTAAAGGAGACCCAGAGAGAGAGATGTCCACTGTGGGCGTTTTCCAGCTCTCCGCCCACACGCTTGTCTGTATGGCTTCCTGCTAGACCAGGCTTGCTCTCCAGCGAGCACAGAAGGGGGGCGGTATGGAGTCACTCCTGAACCTCATATAATTCTCATAGCTGCTTATAATAACAGTTCCTATAAATAAGTGAGTGACAGCAGGACAGAGATAGTGGACAGTAAAAAAAATAACACGGTGCTGGACTTTTAGAGGTGGACGTCTGGTTCCTATCACCATCATTGTGAACAGTTCTGACTCAGTAAGTTTCTCTAGAACAGAGCGTTTCACACCGAACCACTCTGAACCACTCTGTTTACATCTTAACCCTTTACTGCACGATGTTGCCTCAGGGCAACAAAATCAATTTCCTCACTTTACAATAACATTATACATATTTAAAGCGGGCAGAGAAAGGGGGGCAGTACGGAGTCACTCCTGAATCTTATATAATTCTTAAAGCTGCTTTTAATAACAGCTCCAGTGAGTGAGTGAGTGAGTGAGTGAGTGACAGCAGGAGAAACTGGACAGTAAACAATAACACAGTGCTGGACCCTCATCACGAGCATGTAAACAGTGACATTCTCAACTTTGACCCAGTTTGTTGCTGCTGAAGCTAAGCTTAGATACACAAGCCACACTTACATAAAGCCAGCGTCTGATGCTGAGTGAATGGGAGGTGCCCCACTCTATTTAAAGCCTGCTGAAGTTCAAAGTTATGGTTACTCTTTAGAAGAGTTTCAGAAGTTTCCAGTGTTTTAAATTCCAGACTTTGCTTTGCAGCTCCACAAATGAGAGCAGTCTTATCTGTGGCAGGCTGACTAGAGCACATATGTCCAACTGCACTCTTGGAGGTCCACAGCACCGCAGAGTTCAGTACACGCCCTGCTTTAATACGTCTGATTCAGCTCAGCAGCTGTTTATCAAGCCTTTCATCAGCTGAAACAGGTGTTAAAGTTAGGGCACCATCGATAAATTGGTTGACCAATAAAATCTGCTAGTTAAGGTTTCATGTATTTAATGATATCTGCGAAAGTCCCACCTCACTTCTGATGGTTTCAGTGGTTTTATGTTGGGATGTGAACGGGTTCTCGAGTTCGCCGCTGATACTGGAAATAAACAGACCAACAGTTCGGTGAAGCAGTGAGTTTGCTTGTAGTTGTGAGTGTGTTGGTTGTGTTAGCTCTGTTGGCTCAGTAGCTCATCTGAAGAGGCAGCCTCTGCTACTCATCCAACACAGAAACCTACCAGTGTCGCTTGGCTGTTTTCGAATAATGTTTTTATATATATATAATTTTTTTTTTCTCTTTTCTTTCCTGCAATTAACTGAATATTCATTCATGAGCTCTTACAGATACTCCAGTGTCAAAATTAGTCGGAATGCGCATCCCTAGGTTTTATGTTGTAAAAGGCTGCTAAATTGACAGTGACCAGCTACTCTAATTTATTATGGCAATACTGGCTTAAATACAAAACATCGTCATGGTTACAAAAAACGACACGTCCAAACTAATTAATTAATAGACCTACGTGTTCTTAACGGAGGTCCAGTGAGGCCATGAAGGAGTTATAATTTCCTGGATTGTTATTATTTTGAGATAACGAGTTGATTATTTGGTTATCTCAAAATAACAAAATTGTTATCTTTAAATAACGAGTTACTTATCTTTTTATCTCAAGATAACGAAAGTTGTTATCTTGAGATCGCAAGTTAATTATTTTGTGATCTCGATAACAAAATTATCTTGAGATAACAAGTTACTTATCTTGTTATCTTGAGATAACAAAAGTTGTTATGATTGTGATCTCAAGATAAGAAAGTTGTTATTTTGAGATGCGATAATTGTATTGTGATCTCAAGTGAAAGTTACCTCGAGTTAACGAATTATCTTGTTATCTGAAGATAACAAAATTGTTATCCTGAAATAACGAGTTATTCATCTTATCCCAAAATAGCAAAAGTTGATTATCTTGTGATCTCGATAACAAAATTATTTTGAGATAACAAGTTACTTATCATGTTATCTTGAGATCAAAAGTTAGTTATCTTGTGATTTCAAAGTTATTTTGAGATATGCGATAACTTTATTGTGATCTCAAGATAAAGTTACCTTGCGATAACGAATTATCTTATCTTTCTTATCTTGAAATAACGAGTTACTTATCTCGAGATAGCAGAAGTTGGTATCTAGAGATCACAAGTTAATTATTTTATGATCTCCATTACAAAATTATCTTGAGATAACGAGTTAATTGTCTTGTGATGTCAAGATAACAAACTTGTTATTTTTAAAATAACGAGTTACTTATCTTGTTTTTTTTCAAGATAACAATCCAGAAAATTATAGTAACAGCTCAGGGCCTCTCCAGACTTCTGTAGTTTTCGGTGTTTTTTTAAGTTTATGAAATTTGACATTTGACAGCTAATAAAAATATTCAAATATTCACAGTTGATAAGCACATCTGTCAATAAAGCGCTGTTTTACTATCATAGACACTTTATATTTAATATTACTGCTATTAGTGCCTGTCTGAATTTTGTGTTTGTGCTGGTGACCCAATGTCCATACTGGTGGGTCCAGTAGTTAGGGTGAAAATGCCACTGCAGTGGTCTTCTAGGAATGTGGTCTGGACTCAGCAGCCTGTACCTTACATTTTACCACTGAGTTGAGTTGACCTCTATGATGTCCATCTCAAAAAAGATTGAAGTCAGTGATAGCCATCAAACCAAGAAATCTTGTGGCTTTAAAATTAAGAATTTGTTGCTGCAGTAATAGAAACATGTTTATCAAATATAAGCAAGTTTTGCTTTGAAGCAAATAGTATATATTAATTAATTAATTTAATAACTAAATTTAATTTATTTCATTCGACACTGTTTACCTACTGCAGTGAAAGCCTTTTTTGTAACAGCCGCTTATTAAACACCTTATTTTATATATGAGACCTTGTTTATTTATTTTTATTTGATATTAACAAAAAAAATGACACACAGTGAACCATCTTGCCGGGGGACCAGCGCCATCATCATGCTGCAGTTAAGAAATTCCAATAAAATGTGATTTGATAACAAACAGGTTTGTTAAAAGGGAAAAAGACCAAGAAAGCGAGACAAAAATCTCACGTGCACGTTGCCAACCGGGCCCCAGGCTTTTTAGTGGCCGTGGGCAATGTCAACCCCTGCCATCAGCCCTCATATCAACTACATGCATGCAATAAAACATGAGTGTAAGCTTTAATATGCTTGTTTTGAGTGCATTTCTGGATTGTTGTAGATGCACAGCCCACAGAAGCAGAGAGGGAGACCTGGGAGGAAGTGGACGTGGTCCTGCAGGAAGCTCGAGCGATACTCGATGAACTACAGGCCTATAAAGGAGCAGGGCAAGAGATAAGAGAGGTACAGTAGGAGCAAACATACACGTGTAGTTGGAAGCAGGTCATGGATGATGTATTAGTAATACTTTGGCTAGCATTGGACTTCTACACACAGCTATGGTCATTACTCATTAAGCCAGTCTCCCAGACCCAAATTAATCTTAAGGCAGTACTGTAACATAAACAAAAAACGCAGGCTTACTTTGCTCTGCTTTAAGCTTCAGCTCAGCTATAGCTGCTTTTCTCGCATCTCCGGCAGGAAACTTTTCCTCAAGTAGAACAGTTTCTTGTAAAACGTCCCTCAAAGTTCAACTTTTTACGAGGCTGAAGTCGCTTCTCATTCGCCAGCTTCTAGTTCGAAATCCCCCG